CGAATGGGTTGAAATTACAACTTTCGGAATCAGGTTTCTCACAACAAACACAACTTTTGCCCTAGTTTCTTTGCCTGGGGACCTTTGGATTTTTGTTTTGATGGGACCGAACCGTGAGGCTGCCTACGTATCCATAAAAGGAATCAGGTCGAACGTAGTTCATGTCATAGGAATTACTTTGTTGTTGTAATTTTTCTTTCCTTTTCTTCCTCTTTCTCCTCTTTTTTCTTCCTTTTCTGTTTTTGTTGTTGTTTTGTTGTTTTGTTATTGTTGTTTTTTTTTTCTTCTTCTTTTCTCTCTTTTTCTTCTTTTCCTTTTCTCTTTTTCCTTTACTTATTTTTACACTTGCGTTTCTAATCTTTGCTACTGATTCCGTAAGAGAGGTATGAAAGAAAATAAATAAGGCTCAAAGGGGTAACAAAGGGTAAAGTGTTTAGATAGCAGAACAAAATGCCTTCGTCATTCCAATCTTCAGAATATGCTAATTACAAACAAATGCAATTTAACCAAAGAGATCATACATAATATCTTTTGACTGCATCAGAATTGATGGCCATTTCTACACATTTGCCTTCTACATCTGTTAAATACAAAGCACCATTGGACAATACTCTCATCACGATGAACGGCCCTTGCCAGTTTGGGGCGAACTTGCCTCTCGCATCAGCCTGATGAGGAAGGATACGTTTCAATACTAACTGACCCACTTCAAACCTCCGTGAACGCACCTTTTTATTATATGTTATTGCCATTTTCTGTTGATACAACTGGCCATGACATACTGCTGCTAGTCTTTTCTCATCAATTAAACTCAACTGTTCCAAGCGAGTTTTGACCCATTCATCATCATCAATTTCGACCTCAGCGACAATCCGAAGGGACGGGATTTCAATTTCCGTAGGTATCACTACCTCAGTGCCATATACCAACAAATAAGGAGTTTCCCCTACTGAAGTGCGAACAGTAGTGCGATAACCCAGCAATGCAAAAGGCAGCTTCTCATGCCATTGCCTGGAACCTTCCACTATTTTTCGAAGTATCTTCTTTATATTCTTGTTGGCCGCCTTAACTGCTCTGTTTGCCTTGGGGCGGTAAGGGGTGGAATTGCGATATGTAATCTTGAATTGCTGACATACTTCTTTCATCAGATGACTATTGAGATTAGCACCATTGTCTGTAATGATCACCTTTGGTATTCCAAACCGACAAATGATATTTGAGTGCACAAAATCAACCACCGCTTTCTTGGTTACGGACTTGAACGTTTTAGCCTCTACCCACTTGGTGAAATAGTCGATGGCCACTAGAATGAACCTGTGGCCATTTGATGCTGATGGCTCAATTGGCCCAATGACATCCATGCCCCATGCAACAAAAGGCCATAGTGCAGACATTGTGTAAAATTCAGATGGTGAAGAATGAATCAAATCTCCATTCACTTGGCACTGATGACATTTACGCACGAAACTGATACAATCTCGCTCCATAGTGAGCCAATAATAACCTTCTTGGAGAATCTTCTTTGCCAGCACGTACCACTCATGTGCGGTCCACAAACTCCAGAATGTACTTCGGTCATAATAGTTGTGGCCTGCTTAGCATCTATGTATCTCAACAGTCCAAGATCTGGAGTCCTTTTGTACAAGACCCCTCCGCTGAAGAAAAAGTCGCTTGCCAACCGCCTAATTATTCTCTTTTGATCACCTGTGGCTTGTATTGGATACATCCCCATCCTGATATATTCTTTGATATCAAGAAACTAAGGCACACCGTCAAGTTCTTCTTCCACGACATTACAGTAAGTATGCTAATCATGGACCTGAATATGCAAAGGGTCAACATAAGCCTTATTTGGGTGATGTAACATTGACGCCAGAGTAGCCAAAGCATCGGCAACCTCATTATGGATCCTTGGAATATGCCTGAACTCTACTGACTAAAACCACTGACAAAGATCATGCAAACATTGCCGGTACGGTATGAGTTTTAAATCCCGTGTTTCCCATTCCCCTTGGATCTAGTGCACCAGAAGGTCCAAGTCTCCCAAGACCAAGACTTCTTGGACACCCATGTATGTAGCCAACCTCAAACCCAAAATGCATGCCTCATACTCAGCCATGTTGTTAGTACAGTAAAAACGAAGTTGAGCGGTAACAGGGTAGTGATGCCCCGTTTCAGAAATAAGTACGGTTCTTATCCCAACGCCCTTCATGTTAGCAGCTTTGTCAAAGAAAAGTTTCCACCCTGGCTCCCCAACTGGTCCCCACTCATCAATGTGTATGACATCTTCATCAGGGAAGTAAGTCTTCAAAGGCTCATATTCCTCATCCACTGGGTTCTCAGCCAAATGATCGGCCAATGTCTGGGCTTTCATCGCAGTCCTAGTCACATAGACGATGTCAAATTCTATGAGCAAGATCTGCCATTTTGCGAGCCTCCCTGTAGGCATAGGATTCTGAAAGATATACTTTAACGGATCCAAACGAGAGATGAGGTAAGTAGTGTAAGAGGACAAATAGTGCTTCAACTTCTGTGCTACCCAAGTTAGGGCGCAACATGTCCTCTCAAGGTGAGTCTACTTAATCTCGTAAGACGTGAACTTCTTGCTGAGATAATAGATGGCTTGCTCCTTCCTACCGGTGATGTCATGCTGACCCAATACACAGCCAAAGGAATTGTCCAGGGCCGTCAAATACAGAATCGAAGGTCTCCCCGGTTCTGGTGGCACCAATACAGGCGGGTTTGACAAATACCCTTTTATCTTATCAAATGCTTCTTGAAACTCGTCTGTCCACTTGACCGCGACATCTTTCTTCAATAGCTTGAAGATAGGCGCACAGGTTGTCGTAAGCTAAGCAATGAACCTGCTGATGTAGTTCAACCTCCCTAATAGACTCATCACTTCAGTCTTGTTCCTTGGAGGTGGCAATTCTTGGATAGCTTTAATCTTTGATGGGTCCAATTCAATACCTCAGCGGCTGACTATGAATCCCAACAATTTTCCAGACGGCACACTGAATGCGCACTTTGCAGGATTGAGCTTAAGATTGTACCTGCGAAGCCTTTGGAAGAACTTTCTCAAATCTTTGACATGGTCAGACTGCTTTCTAGACTTTATGATCAGATAATCCACATAGACCTTGATATCTCTGTGTATCATGTCGTGGAATATGGTTGTCATTGCCCTCATGTAAGTTGCCCCAGCATTTTTCAAACCAAAAGGCATGACCCTATAGCAGTATGTTCCCCATGGTGTGATGAATGTCATCTTCTCTGCATCTTCCTCATCCATTAGGATTTGATGATAGCCCGAATAGCAATCCACAAAGACCCAATCTCGTGTTTGGCACAATTATCAATCAGAATGTGGATATTTGATAGTGGAAAGTTGTCCTTGGGACTCGCCTTATTGAGATCACGGTAGTCAACACATACCTTGGTCTTGCCATCCTTCTTTGGCATGGGTACTACATTGGCTAACCAAGTGGGATACCGAGTGACCCGAATAACTTTTGCATCGAACTGCTTGGTAACCTCTTCTTTGATCTTCACACTCATATCAGTTTTAAATTTCCTCAGCTTCTGCTTGACATGATGGAATGCCGGGTCAGTGGGCAATTTGTGAACCACCAAATCAGTGCTTAAACCTGGCATGTCGTCATATGACCATGCAAAAATATCTCTGTATTCAACCAATGCTTCAATTATCTCCTCCTTGAGTTGAGGTTCAAGATGGACACTTATCTTAGTTTCTCTGATATTGTCTGGGTCCCCTATATTGATTGTTGTTGTATCACTCAGGTTAGGCTTGGGTTTTTCCTCAAAATGGCTTAGTTCTTTACTAATCTCTTCAAAGGTCTCATCCTCGTCGTATTCTGATTCATTATCACACTTTATTTCTTGAATTACTATTTTCGAATTAGATCGACTTTTGAAGACTGGGCCGAAGATTCCTCATGCATGTCATGTTATTAAAACCGGAATAAAAAGAGTTGTACAATGAAGAAAAGAAAACAAAAATAAAACTGTCAGGAATGAGGAAAAGGGAAATTGCATTTCATTGAAACTAAAAGATAACAAGGTTTATACATCCAAACGGACGGAACATAAAATCTGAATTACAACTCTAGAATAATCCAGATATTTGCACTGGGCCCAACAAATTGCACATCTGCCTTGCTAGAACCTTCTCTAGTTGCCACCATGTTCACCTCGTCGAATAATTTCTCAAACCTTTCAAGCAACTCCTTATCAGGACCAACCACAGGACTAGGAACTGTTGTTGCTGAGCGTTTCTTGGCGTTAGGCCTGACAAATGTAGGGGTGGGCATAAAATCCGAAAAATCGAATTCCGAACCGGACCGAATTAATTCGGTATTTCGGTTTCGGTTTTTTTCGGTATTTTGGTCCAATTCGGTATTGCAATTTTGGTATTTCGGTACGGTCTTCGGTATTAAAATTCTGAAATTTTGGTATACCGAAATACCGAAAATCCGATTTTTAAAAGACATTTTCTTAATTATTACTACCCAGCCCATCGCCCCAGCCCCAAACACCCAGCCCATCGCCCCAGCCCCAAACACCAAGCACATCTTAATTCTTATGCCCAAGCCCAAGCCTAAACTCTAAAGGTCATTTGTCCAATTCAGATACAAAAGAGAAACCCTGATCTGCTTCTTCTTTCAGATCAGATCTAATTCAAATGGACGCTCTCGATTCTGTGTTCGATCCTCTTAGAGATTTCGCCAAAGACAGCGTTAGGCTCGTCAAAAGATGTCACAAGCCTGATCGTAAAGAATTTACCAAGGTTGCTACTCGTACATCGATCGGTTTTGTTGTGATGGGATTTGTTGGATTTTTACCAAGGTTGATAATCGTAAAGAATTTACCAAGGTTGCTAATCGTAAAGAATTTACCAAGGTTCCGAGCTCCGACTCCTCACTCCTCAGTCCTCACTCCTCACAAATTCCGGGCATACGAAGATGCTGCTGTTGTGAACTTGCGATAGTTTCAATTTTCAAAGGTATGTTTCTACTTTCTAGCGATTTCTACTTTCTAGCGATGGAAATGAATTTGATGAAGATTTCTAGCGATGTTCTTTAGCGAAGATTAATTTTATATTCGAAACTCATATCAAAGTCTGAGTCCAAATGCTCCACTGTTGGTATTCAAGGCATTGCTTGGGCTTTTGGGGGCATGATCTTTGCCCTTGTCTACTGTACTGCTGGCATTTCTGGAGGACACATAAATCCAGCAGTGACCTTTGGGTTGTTCTTGGCAAGGAAACTGTCGTTGACAAGGGCAGTGTTCTACATGGTGATGCAGTGTCTTGGTGCTATCTGTGGTGCTGGTGTGGTCAAAGGGTTCGGCAAAACTCTTTATCAAACAAAGGGTGGTGGTGCCAATGTTGTAAATCTTGGTTACACAAAGGGATCAGGTCTTGGTGCTGAGATCGTTGGCACTTTCATTCTTGTTTACACTGTTTTCTCTGCTACTGATGCTAAGCGTAGTGCTAGGGATTCACATGTCCCTCTTTTGGCACCATTGCCTATTGGATTTGCTGTGTTCCCGGTACACTTGGCCACAATTCCAATCACTGGTTTCTCTGCTGCTGCATCTTAGTTCATGCTTGCAGATGCTGTTCAGATGGTTTGGCTGTGTACTGTGTTAAGTGTTAAGTTGTGTAATGTGTTGTGTAGTTGTGTACAGATTCAATTGTGTACTGTGTTAAGTGTTAAGTTGTGTAATGTGCAGTTGGCCAGTTGATTGCAATATTGAACTGTCAACTGTGTTTAAGTTGTTTAATATAGTTATGTAATGTGCATTGTGCAGTTGGCCAGCTTTTGCTTTTCACTTGTATACTAATACTAGATTGCAGAATGCAGATTGTAATATTGTATAATATGATATACAGTATACTGGCGTGCAACTGCAGATTGTAGAGAAGTTGTTGTCTTGTTCAANTTTTCACTTATTCTTAAGCCATGTGAATTGTTTATCACATGGGTTACAACCAGAATTGCCAGAATATAATATGTTATTCTTGTATCAGCCATGTGCAGTTGTGCACTGTTATATATCGGAAAACAGATTCTTTTAGAGTGAAAATTTCAATTGTGCATGTGCACTGTTAGCATTGATTATTCATTGATTATTAAACCGAAGCTGTACCGAACCAAAATAAGAAATACCGAACTGTACCGAAATATTTTGGTATGGTATTTGGTATACACAATTGATAAACCGAATACCAAACCGAAATTCTTAAATACTGAACCGAAATACCGAACGCCCACCCCTAGACAAATGATCTGGAGAGATGTGGGATGGGCTTTGGGAGGACCCATGCCCTCTGTTTCAGCTTTCTGGCTCTTTTTATGTCCGCAACTATGGGCTTGAACCCCAAACCAAATGTATCCAAGTTTTTTGGGAGAGACACCGGCTGTACGATACCTTGTAGAGATGCACCCAAACCCTTGCCTGGTACAAAACCATTTTTCAACATTTCAACGGCTACCATGACTACTGCAGCGGCTACCCTCGGCGCTGGAACACACTTCCCTTCTGGAATTTTCTCTACCGATACCGTGTCAAAAACCTGATAAACCCACGACCGAGTAGATGGGACCACTTTTGCAGCATGAATCCAGGGGCGACCTAACAGCAGATTGTAAGAAACAGCCACATCGAGCACCTGTAACTCCATGGTAAATTCAACAGGCCCTATTGTAAGCTCAAGCACATGTCCCCGACTAAATCTTTCCCTCTACCATCGAATCCCTGAATGCAGATACTTTTCTTGTGAATTCTTTCATCATCCACCTTTAATTTGTTCAAAGTGGAGAGAGGGCAAATGTTCGTGCTGGAACCATTGTCGACCAGTACTCAGGTAACCACGAAATCTTCGCATTTCACCGTGAGATAGAGGGCTCTATTGTGCTCAGTGCCCTCCATGGGCAACTCATCATCAGAAAAAGTGACTCTGTTTACCTCAAATATCTTGTTAGCTATCTTTTCCAGGTGGTTTACTGAGATTTTGTCAGGAACGTAAGCCTCATTCAGGATCTTCATCAAAGCCCGACGGTGCTCGTCTGAATGGATCAATAATGACAATAGTAAGATCTGAGTCGGTGTCTTCCTCAATTGCTCCACAATGGAATAGTCCTACACTTTCATCTTTCTCAAGAATTCCTCTGCTTCTTCTTTGGTCACAACTTTCTTCACCAGCACTGGGTTGTCTTTGGAGCTTTTAGCTTTTCTCAATTCTTCGGAGGCAAAGCATCTCCCCGATAGAGTCAAACCATGGGTCTCGCAAACTTCTTCTTTAACTTCTTTCCCCTTGTAAGTCACTGTCACTCGTTCATAATTCCACGGGACCGCCCTGTTGTTGACTATTGGTAATTGAGTTACCGGCTTGATAATGACAGGGTCTATGTAGGCACCTTCCACAATTACAACAGGCTTGTTCGCCCCTCCTGGCACAACCACTTTCGCTCTTTCATGTTTCCCTGCAATGTCACTTAAGGACCCATTCTTGACCACCACAGATGGTTCACTATTTGCCCCATTCAACTTGATCACAGACTTCTCACTTGTTGACTTTTCAAACGGCCTGGCTTCACTGGATCGAATCATCATGACAGTTTGCGAAGGCTTCTTAGGCTCCCCTTCCTTATGCACTATCCCAATCATATTTGTCTCATGATGGGGCGGCAATGGGTTCTAGTTAATATTAGGTGCCTCCAGAGCTTGGACCTCAATCCGATTAGTATCAATGAGCTCTTGAATAGCTGTTTTCAATTGCCAGCATTTCTCTGTGTCATGCCCTGGAGCACCAGAACAATATTCGCAACTCACAGAGTGATCAAGATTCCTCGGGGGAGGATTTGGCAATTTCGGCTCGATCGAACTCAGCATACCAAACTGTCTCAACCTGTGGAACAAACTGGTATATAGGATTCTCCCAATGGAGTGAAGGTTTTCTTCTTTTGCAACTTCTGGTTCTTAAATGCTTGGTTGGGCCGGAAACCTGATCCAGGAGGGTTTCGATAGGCTCTTGGGGGTGGATAGGCATTTTGTGGAGTTGGGTATGTATTTTGTGGGACTGGTGCACGCCATTGTGCGTGGGCCAGAAGTTGGCTATATGTTTGGGCATGGTGGACAGAAAAATGGGGGACTGGTGGTGGGTAGTAGTGTTGTAGTGGGCTATATGGAGTATGAGGGTAGGTTTGGTGGTGGGGTCGAGGCTGGTTATAGTAATGTGATGGACCCTTGGGTCCGAA